CCCCCCCCCCCCCCCGCCCCCAGACCTCTCCCGAAATCGTGATGCTCCTGGCTGGGGAATCAGGCCAGACACTCCCTATGTGCGCCCGCTGCACCCTACTTCTCATTTTGCCCACCCAGGCTGTCCCCCCGGAACCTGCTGTCACCCTCCTCCAAGGGATTCCCTGAGTCTCCCTTTTGGGGGTGGGGAGTAAAGGAGCCCAGGGCAGGCCTCCCTGCTTGGGGTTACAGCCAGGTCAGAGGGCTGAGGTGCCAGGGCAGAGGAGGGAGCCTTATCCAACCTGGAGGGACAAGCGAGTAGGGCTATTTGCCGGCCACCCAGACCCCCTCCCTCCACAGATCCTGTCGGCCTCCCTGACCCTCCAGTCCTTGCAGGTCTGGACACCGGTTCAGATTTGGAAGCCTGCTCCCATGTCACGGCCTGAGCCCTGCAACAGCCCCATCAGTGCCCCCACTTTCTTAACCTGGGGGTCCCCGGCCGGGCTTTAAAGAGATCCTGGGCTCCTTGAGGTTGTCGGGAAGATGCTCTGTGTTTCCAGGAGAGAGGCCCACTGCCTTTCCTCCGTGTCGCTGTGACAGTGTTGTGGTGGCCCTGGGGTTAGGCGCTGGGGAGTCCAATCCCAGCTCCAGCACGCACTGCTGCGCGACCTTGAGCAAGTTATGCAATCTCCTGCAGAAGCCTCATCTGTACTTTGTGATAGTTACCTCGTGGGATGGTTAAGAGCAGTGCTACTGAGACGGAGCCACCGGGAGGGGCCTCAGGGCCTCGCTCTGGCCCTCCTGTGGCCCCAATCTCCTCACTGGAAAAGGAGTTCGCATGTCAGAAAGGAGGGTGGTCCACGCACCTCCTCTTCTAGACCGTGCTCCGGGTATCCGGGATCCTAGAATTCCCTGCTCAGATGACTCAACCCGGAGCCAGCCTCGTCCCCAGGCGCATCCCCTCAGGAGCTGACCGTGCCAGATGCACCCGTAGGCCCGGAGAGTGGGCAAGGGTCAGCTGTTTGCAGGGGCTGGGGAGTGGGCAGAACCTGACATGCAGGGTGGAACGTTGCCAGACAGACGCGAGAGCCCCCACCCCTGCAGGAGCCGAGAAGCAGCCCAGGGAATCCTTTCTGGACCTGGTCCTCGAATTAAGGCCAAGGAAAATTAATCCATTCGGAGGATAACAGATAAACTTTAACACTTTGGCATCTTGACTTCTAACTTCTAGTTAGGCATAGACGTAATTTCCATTCGTCCACTTGCTCCGGGCCTTACAAACGTCAGAAGTGGACCTGACGATGAAGACCGAATGAGATATTCTTTTATGCAAAAAGTGCTTAGCGCAGCGCTCGACAGAGGGTGAGCACACAGTACCTTTGCGCTCATATTATTCTCAAAGGGGTCTGTGACCCAAAAATGCTGTCTCTTCCCATCTCCAGGCTCACCTCACCCTCTCCTCCCCACCGGAGATCCTGGACACTAGACCAGCAGGGCGGGCATCAAAGCTGCCCACTTTATTTTTACAGCAGGGGTCATGTTTCTCAGAACAGGAGGCTGAGGTGAGGGAGGAGGTGAGCCAAAGGGAAGGAAAGTGACCCCTGCCCAGAGAAGGGGGAGGAGAGGGGACAGAGCTCTCTGGATATCTTTAGATCCTGGCGACCAGAAAAGGGGCCAGTGTCCCCAGTGCCCTCCGCGTCCCTGCTGGCTCGCTGCTCATCATTCTTCACAGCCCAGAGAATTCTAAGGAGACACACACATTTCACAGATGAAGAAACGGGCCCAGAGAGGTAGGGTGTGGAGCCCAAGGTCACAGACAAAGCGAGTCTTAGAGCCAGGATTAGAACCTCCCCCACTATGTGATTCCCTCTGTCCACGCCCCCCCCCCCCCCCCCCCCCCCCCCCCCCCCCCGCAGCTTTCCTTTAAAGAACATCAGGAGGGTTCCACACTTGGGCAGAAGAAGTGCTTGAGAAATGCATTAGTGGCTAGGAGATTTCTACATTTATAGAGCACTTTCCCGAACAATTCTCAAAACCCTAGACCATTGATCCAGCTTGGAGGGTCCTCCTGAGTGTGCTGGGGAGAGAATGACCCTTTGAAAAACGTCTCCTTGAGGAACCCTCCCTGATTTAGCCCCCTTCGCCCCGCTCAAGAGCCCCCAGTCCCTGGGTGGGGGGCGCGATTTCGGCACTTGGCTCTTTTCCCTCCTTCTGCTGGAAATCCCTGGAGGGCCAGGATGGTGTCTTGGACATAAGCCCCCAGCGGCACCCTGATCCTTGCTTGATCCTTGCTGGTAGCTAATGCACACTCAGGTCCTGGGCAGCCTGCTCAGAAATACCCTGAAGAGCAAGTTTTCAGGGGTTGCAGAGAGGGAGTGGGGGAGATGGGGCCTCGATTCAGGGGGAAGGAGGTTGTCTCCTGGGAAGGGGTCACGTAGGTTCTTTGAAACAGTTAGTTCAGGTGCCCTATCGGTTGCTGCCCTCCGGGAGCTGGAGCGGAGCCAGGAGGGAGAGCATAGGAGGGAGGGAGGGTCGGTGTGTGGCCGGGGAAAGGGGGAGCCCCCAGCAGAACCCCAGCCCCCCCAGTGACCGGGAAATGCTCTCCCAAGGGAAGGAGCTCACTCCAGGGGCGGTCCCAGCTTCTAGCAGGGCAGGCAGATGGGAGGCTCAGGCCCCTGCTAGTTCTCGGAAAGGTGGCCAAGACCCCGGCAGGGGAGGAGGTGGAAAGGGACACTCCTATGAGGTCTCGGGAGCTATTTTAAGAGGAGTTCCTCCTAAGTAACTGGAGCCTGGCAGGGAGCCTCCCCCCACTCCCCCCCACTCCTCCCCCCACCCCCCAGCCCCTGCGCTGGCTCCCCCATGCCCTTGCCCCAAGGCCCCTCTCCCTCTCCTCCCCCACAGCCCCCGCAAGCGGCTCCTAGCCCTGGCCCTGGCCTGGCCTTGCAGATAACTGAGCTCACTGGCAGTGGTGTAGACTCGGAGACTCAGAGACCACGGGGCTCTGCGGGGAGCCCCCGCGCTCCCACCTCTCAGCTCCTCTCCCACAAGCCTGGGATCTACCCCCAGAGGCTGCTTCTCCCACCAGCTTCCCTGAGCCGCCCCCGACCCCTCGCTTATAAACGGAGCCCCAACCTCAGGACGGCGGAACTGCAGGCGCCGAGATCCTCTGCCTGCATTAATTTAAAGTTAAATGCCCTCAAACCTTTCCGCCTCTCGGGTTGGGGCTGGGTGCACGCCATCCGCACAAACTTTTGGGAGCCTCCTTCCTAGTGCACCTGGGTCTGTTCCCTGCCCGTCCCTCCCCGCCACTCGCTCGTTCCCTGCAGCTCCCAGTGCCCGCTCAGCCGCCCCCAGCCGCTGGCTCGGCACCCACTGAAGTTTGGCAGGTGCCGAGGGGGTTAACAGGACAGCACGCACCACACCAGCCCGCAGGCACGTGGTTTAGCGGGCCGGCCAGGAGCCGGTCCTGGCCACCTTGCCCCTGCTCCCCAAGCCCACCTCGCCTTGTGGAGTTGGAGTAAAGATCAGCTCTTCCTGAACCCTCCTCACCCACCTCCACTTTCTAAGGGCTCTGGGCACAGGCAGGCAAGGCAGCCACCGCCTCCATGCCACCCATCATCCTCTTTTTCTGTTTTCTTCCAGGTTCTATCCAAACATCCTTTCGGGCAAAGGGGGTGGGGA